CGTGAGAACTGCATCAGCTGATCTCGGAAAAGCCTTAACCAGTGCAGACGACAGGAAGCAAGTTATTTTTGTCCCATTTAGTGACTTCTCGAATATGTCTTCTGGGTCATTCCACAGCGGATGGTAGGAGAGAGAACATGGCTTCGGAGACTTCAGAGAGGTTGAAAGTAACTTCCGAAATATTTGATTACTTCAAGAAAGAAGCGATTGATGGCTCCCCAGGAGGCAAGTTGGTCCTACTTTTATGTTATCTTTGATTTCATTTATCCCTCAGTTTGCCAATTTTGTCTGCAATGCACGTGAAGTGATTGTGTACTTGAGCACTACAGATGTGCATGCTTATATAATTCGGCCTGTGACCAGTTTACATTTTAAATCACATATGAATATATGCATGTGGGAAAATTTACAGTGGATAACAATTAGGAATTGAGTAAAAAAAAAAGATGGAATGGTGACCTTGACGTTAAATACAACACTATGCTTATCCCCCTTGAACGACTACAAATTGGAACTTACAAATTCTCGTGAACGTGTGTGATATTGCGTTGTAGCCAGGAGACAGAACCACAAGACTTACTGAGGAATCATTAGCATATCAAATAGTAGAGACATACCAAGGACAAAGCAAATTAAGGACCTACGTGACAACTAACATGAATACCAGATCGGCAATTAACTAGGAAAACTTGGCCAGCATCACAGTACTAAAACTCCCCGCAGCCATATCTTTCAAACAGATGCAATTGATTTTATTTTTAAAATTTTGTGTGCAAGGACCTTGAAATGTGCACATGCATTTACTTGGACTTAGATTTTTTAAGGAAATGTGCACATGAAATGAATAATGCACACATGGGCACGAAGATTGTGCATGCGAGATCTCATGAGCAAACTAGTCTGCCCTAAAAGGCAGACTCCTTTCGATTAAACATTCTTCATTTGTTTCTTTGTGATATACCATGGCAAGTATAAGAATAGCAATAGTTAACATAATAGTCATCATGAAAAAGATGATAATGATAATAATAGTCACAATAATGTTATTGTTTATCCAGTGTCATAGGCTTGACAGCAGACTGGAGCCTGACAGTTTCTATGACGATATAGGCATATGAATAGTTTGACCTACCTTCTTAGGATGAAAGATGATGTATTTTTCCAGACAAATGGATTGGCTTCTGCACTTTTGGCTCTGGTAAATGCCAACTAACCTCTACTATATATTCTGGTACAATAGAGCTTGAACTGGTTCATTATTTGATGATAGATTTCCAAGGAGGGTTATAACATCTTGCCAAAATATGTGTGGAAATAAGGTGTTTTAGCCTTGGCTGTGATGATTACTGTGTACTCTTTACTGAATCTGGTTTTTCTATTTCACCTGTGTATATCAAATTCATCCTTATTTTTAAGGCTTGGTTATCTTTCAGTAGTTTTATGTGATTCTGTTTCTGGATTACAAACAGAATTACTTACTACAAGCCAGTTTTATCATAATTATCATTGCCAGTGTTTTATATGTGGTGTTTATTGCCACAATCAATTAAAATTTTGTAGAAATTTGTTGAGGCCTACTGATGTTGTTTTACTAATTATATTGTGATTTCTGAGTTGGATTATTTTTTGAAGGTGGAAATTAGTCTTTAGGAAAAACAGAGATTCGATATATAAAAGCATTACTCTTAATGATGAAAGAGAGAAGAGTACACACTGTGGTTATCACTTCCACCAAGGAGGTTATGTTTTTGGTAGTGTTGGTTAGTTAGATGTTTTGTTAGTTAGCAGGATAACTAAAAAATTTGGGAACATATTTTTATGAAATTTTTACCAGGGGTTTGTTTTAGCCCAACTTTGTGGTGATCTGGATCCAGGATTTTTTTTAATGATTGCATCAGTTACCCCTATTGCCAAAAATGATAATAGTTACCCCTATAGCCTTGTCATTATAGCTAATAGTGAGACATTTTTTTCTATTCATCATTTATGGAATTAGGTCAACAGAAGAAGGAAAAGAAAACATTTATAATATGTGGAGCCCATTGCTTTTGAGTTTGTCAGTTAAGACACCTTCCTTTGATACACTGTAATATGTGAAAGAAAAAAAAAAAAAAAAAAAAAAAGTGTGGATTAAAGAATTATAGATGAAGTAGATGGTCTGATATATTTTAAGTGGTGTATCATAGTTGCACCTTTTATGTCATATGTTGATCTGTACTTTTTTCCACAGCTGTGTTAACAAGGTATGAATTTGTGTACCCTTCCTACATGACATCAGGTGAGGCCAATAAAAAAATGAAAGCGAAGGATCTGCCAGTCAGCGAAAAGGACAGTCAGACTAAGAAAGAAGGTGTTGTTCTTATAGGTAAGATTTTCTTGGATATTGGAAGATTTGAGTTTTAGTATCAAACTGCTATTTTATAATGTGTACATTGAGGCTTATTGGACAGCACAAGATAACAATAGTGATAGTGTGTTTTCTTTCATTCTCAGACAATCTTTGAATTAGAAATTATCTTGGTAACACTGTATTTTAATCATTTTCTGGACCTCACATACATTTTCTTAATCCCTGCCATTGAACTGCCATCTGCATTGACTTTTATTTTTTTCTTATCAGTGAACCTTCTAATCCTGGTAATATGCTTAATATCCACCAAATATCACAAATATCTCATCATCCAACAGAACAACAGAGTGCCACAATCATAGACTTGGTCGGTGAACAGGTTTGGCGCGGAGCTCTCCTTCTTGCAGACTTTATCTTCCACCATCCTGAGATCTTCAAGAATGCAAATATCCTGGAACTGGCTTCTGGGGTTGGATTAACATCCATTGTCGCCAGCATGATTGTAAAGAAAGTTTTGATTACAGGTGAGAATTGATGGTTTAAAATGTTTCTCTGTCCTTACTTTTTGTGTCTTTCTTAAAGGAAATCCGCTGTAGTATCAGATGTAATGAAGATTGATATATTGATAAAGAAGATATTTATCACTCTTTTTTTTCTTATTATACTTGATGCAGTTATAAATTCTTATTCTTATTTTTCTTTACTTACCAACAGTATTTTCTCTACCTTTACTGAGATACATCCTTCTCCATATCCTTTCACATTTGGTGATAAGGGGTAGTAGAATTCTCAAATTACTTTTGAACTTCATGGCTTTTAGCATTACCAGCTGATACAGGATAGCCTGATGCTCAGCTGTTCTGATATCTGTGTCCATTAGCTCTGTTGCATGACTTTCATAATGTTCAAAGTATAAACTCCTAGTCTGATAAGCCAGAGGCAAGAATTTAGAGAGTGCTCAAAGTTGGCCAGGCAGACCCTTAGTTCTCATTCACACATTTCAACCACAGCTTCCTCCAAAACAAACAAACACTGAGATTTCACATGTTCCAAGGCCAATGAATGAGCAGTGGTTTAACTCTTGTACTACTGCAGGAAGATATTTATCTCATCCTTTAAGCCAGTAGTATACACTTTTGTTGTAATGTAGTGGATGAAGGAAGTTATGTTGTGAGGGAAAAGGATCCATCATTGTTGAATTCATAGGATACTGTGTGGCTGGGACAGTGTCCATGATAAGCAGTATCTTGAAAGAAATTTAGCCTTTGGCTAGATAAAAACCTCAGAACATAACATTTGCAGAACCAGTCTGCAAAGAGGGACATAATGGACAATGGTGATCCATGTATCTGCAATAGCTGTCCAGTAGATGGGCAACTAGTTTTAGGCTTTACCTGGTAGGGCACAGGTTTTTGAAGACGTAGATGTCATCCAGGTTTTAATCATAAAATCAACTGCATTGCCACAAAATAGGTGTATGAGTCTGTGGCAGTCTTGAAGCCTGGGGCATGGGTCTCATGGTGGCTAATGTAGGTCCCACTTGTAATTCTCATGCTATTCCATGCTTTCAGTAAACTAAGGAATATGAGAGGAAGATAAACTGCATTTGCTTCATCAGCATTGCACATCATCTTGAAAAGAGAAAGCCCTTTCACACATATCAAATTTGGATCATTATATCAGAACTCTTGTGTGAGTCTTATTTCCAAATAGAAAGTGTATTCTCCATCTTGATAATGTGCTTCTTTTATGCAAAATGTACTAACTTTCATATCCTCCCATTTGTTCTTTTCTGCCTTGTTAATGGTTCACATAGCTTACTCATTTATACCAATAGTAGTGAAATATGTTTCCTCCTTGAAATGTCTTTTTGCTGTTGCTTTGTTGCTTAGGAACATTAGCACTTGCATCACAAGCACTAAGTTTTGGTTCCTTGTTAGTGAACAAACACAGAGACACAAAAGCATGAAGAACACAGAGATGGCAGTAAAAAGGTAATAGCATGAGCCAACAACCAAAGCAGATAAGGTACAGGAAGCTGCATGTAATATATATACGCTCAACCCATAGGCAATGCATTCATTAGTTCAAACTTTGGTTTAAATCATGAGTTACTGTTGTAAAATACATTGAATTATAAAAGAAGTAAAAAAGAAGTTAGTTCATTTGTAAACATTACACAGAGGTTACTGTAGGTTTTTGGTGTTATATTGTGGTTAGATATACTAGCATGCCTGACATCTCCATGGCAAGCTGTTCTATTTGCTTTGTTGAACCAGCTTTTGTCTTGATTTTTTTCTATTCTTTAGCAGAAAATCAAGCTGCTTAAAAGATTGGAATACTGAATCAAAAAAACAAATAATAGATTAAAATGCTAGGGACACTAATTCATCTCAACCATCCATGACACATCTTTATTAACTAACTTTTAGTCATCTGTAATGTATTTTTAAGGTACGCTGTAATAACTGTATTAAGAGTTACCTATTTCTCTATTGTGTATTCTTTTCAGATGTGGACCGTGGGGAAATTTTTTCTCTAATTCATCGTAATTTCAAAAGAAATAAAGCATTGGTTAAAGCAGAAACCCTTGTGAAAGAATTAGATTTTGATAACCATGCTACAATAGATGAAAACTCTGAGTCACTTAAAGACATCTCTATCATCCTGGCTGCAGATAGTGAGTTTCCTTATGATTCAGTTTTACATTACGAACTCCCTTTTTTGGAAGGGCTAGGATAGTGCCTTCTTTCAAAGGCCTCGGTTTTGGCAATGACAGACCATTTCCCAGAGTGGATGACCTTCCTTACCTCAGACCATGGGCAGGATTCGAAACCTCTCACTTGGAGACATTCCTGATCCCCTGCAGCATGCACCCCCACTGTACCACAGCGGCCCCACAGATAGTAAGTTTTATCCGAACTCATAGATAGAAAGTTTTATTCATACTTATAGATAGTATGTGTTACTTAAACTTATAAATAGTGAGCTTTATTTAACCTAATAATTAGTAGTTTTATTTTAACTCCTACTATATGTCACGAGTTTTATTAATAAAGTGATATATCAAATTTATCTTTGTATATTTTGATATAATGTATTCAATATATAGGAGGACCAGTTCTGAATTAGCAAGAGCTATTTCAATCCACTTTGTTGATGTTTATTCTAAATTCATTCAAGTTTATTCAGACTTACTAAACCCTTTCACTAGCGCCACCCCTAGGCTTTAGGTAATTACCTCTATGAATAATATGGCCCTACATAGTCTGTATCCTTGTACCGTGCCGTAACTCTAAGACTTTTTTCTTAAAAAGCTTTGACATTAGATCTGCCATCAGGGCAGGAGAATTATCAAATTTTATTTGATTAATTTTGAATTATTAAGGGTTTTTTTCTTTCTTTCTTTTTTTATTCTAATTTAGTTTATACTGGTGGTTAGATGATAACATAAATCCCGCTTTTTTATTCTTGATATTGCCATTGTGTAATTAGGACAGAATAATGTGAAATTTCCTATCAGGAAATGGACTAAGGAAGAAGGTTGGAAGTCTAGTCATGGTGATACTTAAATTGTTATAGGATATTCATATTTACATTTGATTTTTACTCCTTGATTTAATAATCTTTAAGTTGTGTTTCTAGCAATATAAAAAGGGTTTATTGATATTTTATTGAGTAATGAAAATAATGAATAAATTGTATATAATCTCTTTCTACTTATAGCCTATGTATATGCAAAATACCATTATCGACACATGAAAGAAATATGAAGAAATGCATTGAAGATTACTAATAATTTTCCCCCTCTTTTTTTTTTTTTTTTTAGTAATATATAACAACCACTTGACAGAGCTGTTCTTCAAGACAGTATTGAGATTGATGAGTGAACCGCCTAACAAGACATTGTATGTGGCACAAGAGAAGAGGTATGTTATATACTTTTTTTTAAGTGTATGAATTATTCATAAGTGAAAAACTGCTAGTATAAGTGTGGGTGCTGGGATGCATGCATGCATGTCTGTGTGTGTTATTTATATATTTTGCATATTGTTAAACTGATATGGAAATTAAATACTATATTAATGCAGTACAATCCTTGTTTTCACAGGTACGTTTTTTCATTTGCATTTTGCTATGATTATTTCCTTGACCGCATAGAGTGGCTGCGTTCTCAGAATACATCAACAATCAACTGGACTACAGAAGAAGTCCCCATCGATTTCAAGCAGTACTTCAACTATGAAAAGTCACAGAATTTAGTGCTCTGGAAAATTAGTGCAGAGTTAAAATGATATGGAGGAATTAATATACAATATGTGTATATATATATATATATATATATATATATATATATATATATATATATATATATATATATATATATATATATATATATATATATATATATTATATATATATATATATATATATATATATATATATATATATATCTTCTTCATTTCAGTGACATCAATTTTATGGTTGAGTCAGATGTTACAATTAAGTATTAGGTACTGTACATAGATACCTAAATATAAATTTTAGGCAGCAGAAAACTTGCAATATGAATTGAGAATGAATATGAGATTTGATATATTTTTTTCTATATATGAATACAACTAGTGATGTCCATTTACTTCGAAATTTAAAATTGAAACAACTTCACACTGTATGTTATGTATTTGACACATTTCAATTATATCGTCAGAATTTCGTGTAATTCTGTGTAAGATTAAATCAAAATGCCTCAGATACATATCTTGTGCTGTTCTTTGTTGTCATTTACATTTTTTTCTACATCTCTTACAATAAAGTTTGGAAAATGTAGGAGTTGAATAGTAAGGTTGCATGTTTTTAAGGTTCCCATAGGAAATTTATTGAATTTTGGAACATGATACTGTGACTTACTACAGGAGTTTAGGAAGCATATAGAAGTCATTGGACAAGAACTAATTTCCCTTATGGTACTGCTGGTATAGTTCAGTATTTTGTGCAATATATGAATTTTACTTTAGAGTATGGTGTATCATTTTATCTTCTGGGTAAGAAATTGGATCTTCCAAGAATTTGGAATACTGTTTTCCTACTTCATGTAATGTTATCAGATAGGATGGCGTTTGTTATTTTTAAAATATTAATTCTGAAGCTTTGATATGTTTGTAAATTGCATTTGCATTGTTTTTTTTCTTTCTTACTTTTGTAAGGAAAGAGAAAGTTATGGAAACTGTACACTGATATGGGAACAACCTGACTATAAAAGGATATTTTTGTATTGCTGAAGCTATTTCTCTATTTTAAAAGTCATGGAACTAAGGAAAAAAAAGAACAACAAAAAATATTGTCACTGCCATACCTTTTTGTTGTGAAATTGCAACTCCATAATAACAAAGTATTCTCCAGATCCAAGGCACTCACTTGAATATGTCATATACATTGTGTAGGTATTATGGCATGTCAGAAACAATATCATGTCCATGAACTACGAAGGTGAGTCTATGACAAGTAAAATGTGAATGCAGAATGTGAATAAACTGCAGTTCAGAATACCTCTACCTAGGATTTTGTATCATATCTTCCTGTATAAAAAAAACTTCTGTTGTTACATTACATCTCACACTTTGATATACAGTAAAATAAAAATATTAAATTATTTCATATCAAGTAATGTACATAAGTTATGCATATATAATATCCAAACTTGTAAAGCATTATTGTAATATAATGTTACAACCATAAATGAAATTCATTCGTCCTTATCTGTGTAAAATGACAATTATAATTATGAAAAAATATATATGGTAATAGTAATTGTAATATCAAGTATATAACTCAAGTACTTACTCCAAAGTAATTTTTTACTGTCCTAAAACTTACTTCAGTCTTCTGAGATGTCAGGTTTTAAAATTTACATTCAAGATATCTTTTAAAGATTCAGCTAGGACAGCCTGCATTATTTCTATCAGTCTTATCATGTCAAAGATCAAAGGCCACCCATATCTGGCTTAGCTTGAATTAGTGATTAAAAAAAAATCCATAACTTGTTAATTTATTACTGACATTAGCATTATGAAAAGGGATAACTTTTCACTCTTCACTACCAGTACTGATTAATTTGATTAAAGTTTAATTGATCTAGCAAGAAATTGTAACAATGTTATATGACCTCAGTACTTGATTAGGTGAGACTTCATTGAGGTTGTATACCTTATAATCCATACATAATTTATGCTTTTATACTTTGTATTCCATTATACATTACATCATATTGGATTATATACAGTATAAATAATATAGTAAGATACTGGAAGCTCTCAGGGAGTGCATACATCCACCAAGTCAATAGGGCCACTGATGCAAGAAAAATATTCAAACTTGAAGAATTTCATTAAAACTAACTATATCCGGATCACCACCGGATGGCATCTGAGTCTGAATATGACACCTCTTGTAAAAATAAATAAATAAAAGTCTGTTCATAACGTTTTGAGTTATCCTGGTAACCAACAGCAAGGCTACCAAAACAACCTTCATGGCAAGGTAATAACATGTCTTAAAAATAAAAAATAGATCACGGGATTATCCTTCGAAATGTTAGGTATGAAACTGAGGACTACAAATATAGAAAAGATATGAATGAGAATGAATATCTATTGATCCGGTTTCATGTATGTGTTTGTGTGTGTGTGTGGGGGGGGGGGTGCGTGCGTGCGTGTGTAAAAACGCATATGTAACTTCAAATTATCCAAGGACGCGGCAACAATTATGTGGGTAGGAAGTGGGAGGTCACGGTCGTCAGGTAATTCGTCAGCTCACGTCTGATATAATATATATATATATATATATATATATATATATATATATATATATATATATATATATATATATAATATATATATATATCGTGTGTGTGTGTGTGTGTGTGTGTGTGTGTGTGTGTGTGTGTGTGTGTGTGTGTGTGTGTGTGTGTGTGTGTGTGTGTGTGTGTGTGTGTGTGTGTGTGTGTGTGTGTGTGTGTGTGTGTGTGTGTGTGTGTGTGTGTGTGTGTGTGTGTGTGTGTGTGTGTGTGCGTGTGTGTGTGTGTGTGTGCGTGTGTGTGTGTGTGTGTGCGTGTGTGTAGTTTCTCTGGGCAGGGACATTATTTGAGAGAAACAGTGTACATAGACCCTTCTAACTTTTTAGGGAGATCTACTGAGCTGACCGTGGTATTCAGTTATCCAGGGTGCATAACTGTATCCACATTTTGTTTCCACCTCCAAGAATCTTTCATGGCGAGCTGCCGGCAGGGCCTCGATCCATCACTAGCCTCTCACGACAGAACTGATCAGTCTGTCCGAGTCCCGACTTGCGAGGGTGAGAAGGAAGCGAGCTAGTTGCCTATAGAGCCTGAGTTGGCGGTCCCGGATTTTGCAGGTAACAGGTCCTGTGGCAGTATTTCAGTGTAACTGTTGGTTGGACACATGGTCCTGCGAACTGTACCCAGTGATCCGGCGCAAGGACTTGTTACGAACGACATCAAGGCAAGACTCCAAGGCACAGGATAGCGTCTAGGTATCACCTCCAACTGGCAGTATCATGACCCTGAAGACGCGTGACTTGATTCTTCTGCACAAGGACTGGCTTCTCCATAAATTCATATCGAGAGTTCATGGCACCTGCAAGGTCAGTCGCTTTGCTGGATTCTTTGGTCTGACAGCCCGAAGTCATGAGCTACACTGCTAATTGTGATTCTGTGAACCGCCACAATTGCGTATCGTGCAGGTTCATCTAGCAGGCCCTCGAATTTCTGGGTCTCGGTCCAGGAGTTCTCTAAATATTGGTACAAAGAACAGCCCTGCCTCTCCCCAGGATTCATAGAGCAGAAGCTGAACAGGCCCCCCCCATCAGACTTTACATTACTTTCGGTACCATTATTTACTTGTGTGTAAATAACAAAAATAATGGACCTAAGATCCCTAAAGGCAAGTGCAGGAATGTCAATAGGGGTCCGATGACTAATTGTGCCAGATGCAACCTAGAAATACAGCAAAACAAGGAAAAGTAATTCCCCCAAAATTCAATTCAATCTATTTTCAGTACAATGCCATTTTGATCACCTTATATTCAATAATCTTTGAAAAAAAAAATAGTCATTCATATTATCTGCACGAAGACCTGCCTTTCAAAGCATTAAATGCAGCAATACTATTTTCTCATGAGGTGCAACATCTGAGCTCTTAACACGATTAAAAATTTCCACAATAATTGCTGCTGGCTTCTCATACATGTCAGACTTTACTTTTACTAAAGAATGTTTACTACTACTGACTGGAACCAACTAAGAACTCAAATCATGCTGAAGTGAAGCACTGAGAACAACGAGAGATCACCGTTCAGTGTTCCATGCAATTTAATTCATGAGTATATGATAGTACTGCTGTAACTATTTTTTGATCAAGCAAGCTGTAAAAAAAAAAATGTTTCTGCTTGTTTCTGCATGAGATTAATTTCGTTTTATGCATCAAGAAACGAGAGACAAGTGCTCGATCACAGTGCAAACGTTTTCGTCTGCCTGCCTGAGGTCGCGACGCCTGCCAGGACCTCCAAATGTTAGACGTGGTCATTTCTCAATTTTTAGATGTTTTCAGTTTATACGTTATCACATATTGATTGCCATATCATTCTGTAAATCTTGGCAATAAACATGATTTAAATAAGGAATATTCTCGACTAACTTAACTAATTTTTAACTAAGTTATAAAAATATAATAATATAATACAATACGACATAAGCCAATACATTGTAGAACAGATTGGGGTCGCCAGAAAAAAAAAGTTGGGAACCACTGTCATAAGAGACATGTCTGTTTCGGCATGATATGGATGGAGTGTGGATACTATTTTGTGAATCGACAAAATTTGGTAAACAATTCACCACCATGTGCGTGAAAGCCAATCCTCCATCAGTCGGTGTGAATTACTGGTCCTGCTTCTGTTGGCAGGGCTGTGTTCTTGCACCAATAATTTGGACAACATTTATTACGCAGTTACCAAACACCTTTTTGCTAATGTCACAATTTTTTTTAAACTAAGAAATGTATTTTTGAACAAAAAATATATTTTGCACTTTTTCAACATAAGCAATCACGAAGTAATACTACCCACGAAGAAAGGTGTGCTCTAGAATAATATAACTTAAACTACTATCCTCAATAAACGTTCTAAACAGGGATCCCCAAATTTTATAGACCACTGACCCCTTTCTGGAATCCTTGACTTCTCATAGACCCCTAGGTATGTAAAACCAATAATATATATATATATATATATATATATATATATATATATATATAATATATACATATATGTGTATATATTAAAATGGTTAAGTAGATGTGCAGTTTCCATAAACATTAGTAAGAGAAACAAAATTCTAAACTCTGCTTTCTATATACATCAGTAAGGGAACCTGCACACCAAGCTCCGCGAAACTGTTGTTCTGTATCCCTTCCCACCTGTGAATGACTAAATATAAACAGAATATGAAAAAACGCAAAAAAAAAAAAATTGTATGTGAATTAGAAACGTTTATCGGCAAGTAATATTTCATACGAATAGCCACAAAACTACAAACGGTCTCAGGCGTTTATGTCCCCTTGGATAATCCTATCAAACCCCTCGATGATGACCACTTTAGGGCACTGGAATCCCTCTTCTATTTCATTCTTTAATCTCCACTCCTAGCAACACAAATCAAAATTGAAAAGAAAACCAGAATTATAAAGGAAATCCATATCAATTCATGGCTGCCAAGAACATGGATCCATTGTTTGTAAATGAATGGACACAACACACACACACACACACACACACACACACACACACACAACACACACACACACACACACACACACATTCATACAGACACATACACACACACACATACACACAAATATGTATGTATGCATGTATGTACGTACATATATATATAGGTGTGTGTGTGTATATACATAAATAGATATGTATACGCACACGCACACACACACACACACACACACACACACACCACACACACACACACACACACACACATACACCACACACATACACACATAGCACACACACACACACACACACACACAGCATGCATATATATATATATATATATATATATACATATATATATATATACATACATATATATATATATATATATATATATATACATATATATATATATATACCACACACACACACAGCACACACACACACCACACACACACATATATATATAATATATATATATATATATATATATATATATATATATATATATATATATATATATATATGTATGTATGTATGTACATATGTATATATAGTATATATATATATATATATACATACTGTATATATGAATCAATGAAAATAAACTTAAAACCATAGATATACTTATAGAGCAATACTTGTGATTAAATTTGCCATGACACTGATCAGCTATGATGTTTTAAAATGTTGCAGTGTGCAGTCCTTCATTTGTTGACCTTAAGTACTAGGAAGACATCATTGGGGACAGTCCAACAAGTGCACGTTTCTTTGCAAAATTAAATATCTTAATCTGAACCAGAAAAAAAAAACAATTTTAGTTTATCGTGTTATTGTTGCTTTGATAGTAAATGTGTTTACGAGTGTCTTTACAGTTTTATAACAATCAGGCGTGTTTAAGATTATGAGGAGGAGACGAAAGACATGTTCGTCCTCCCCATATATAAAAGGACGATATCAGCTAACATGTTTTTCTTACGTAAATATCTGGCTTTCTATCTTATTCTTTCTTAGCTGTATCTTGATCTGCACTGTCACCTTTGATAGAATAAATCTCTATTTTTCTTCAGTGGCTGTTTGTATAGGTTATAATGATAATAGTAATAATAATAATAATAATAATAATAATAATCTTAATAGTAATAATATAATAATGTAATAATGATAATAATAATATAATAATAATAATAATAATAATAATAATATAATGATAATATAATGATATAATAATAATAATAATAATAATAATAATAATAATAATAATAATAATAATAATAATAATAATAATAATAATAATAATGGAAAAAGAAATAATGATAATGATAATAATAATATTAATAATTGGTCACCGCACGCCCCTTCCCTCCCCCACCCCCCTTTTCCTTCCGCCAATTGTAGCGTTCCCCTTGTACTGTACCGAAACGTTTTCTTTTGTTTACACACGTGTTTCAAAACGTTTCTTTATTATCATTGTGTTCTTTTTCTTTGCGTTTTGTTTATAACAGGAAATTACATGTATAATCCGTAATAATAGATATTAAATATTATCGTATATCGCACTATTGCTTGGTCTTTCAAAGAAAATATTTTAATCGATCTTTTCTCGCGTTATTTCTCCCCGTAAGGTGAAGACTTACAAACTCATCAATATGACCATCATCCTATCTATTGTTATCCTTATAAAATCTGTCACACAGAATGCCTCGCTATGAAAAAACTCCATAAGAACAAAATCCCCCAATTTGCCTAAAGATAAACAAGACGCACGTGACAACTGCTTGAACCGCTCCAGCTGAGTGTGAAGGTCACAGAGCAGACGACACAGATCGGGTTATTTTCGTCCCACTTACTGTCTTCTCGGATAAGTCTTCTGGGTTAAACCACAGCGGATGTTAGAAGAGAGAGAACATGGCTTCAGAGGATTCAGAGGAGCTCACTGTGACTTCAGAAGTACATCATTTCTCCAAGGAAGAAGTGATTGACGGTTCCTCGGGAGGCAAGTTTGCATTAATGCCGTCATATTACTCTCGTCGTATCGGTTTTTTCAATCATCAGTTTTATTATTACTATATCCACAATGTGTCAGTTTTCAATGGGTGTGATAGATGTGCACTGCCACAAGGGATAAAAATTCAGTAAGACTTTCCTGTGGCAGATCATTTTTGGTTTACTAATTATAATACAATTGTGATGTCCGAGTTCTATTTTTGAAGTTGATTAATAGTTGATATGACATAGATATTAGGAAATAAGAACTATGATAACAGTGCAGTGATTGCCTTGATGAATTGATAGTTATGATTATTTTAGAGGACAGTATTTTACAAAATTTGTAGAATTTAAAGATAAAGTCACCAAGATAAGTAATATGAAAAGATGTCATATACTGTTGTTTTACAGGTTCAAACTGTATTAGCAATTATTTACCAATAATTATTGAAAAGCCCACTATCTTATGGCTTATATGACAAATTTAAGGATTGCTGAGTGCCAATTTTAAATGCCAAGGACGTATGCTTGTATCCTGATTATGTTAATTAAGGTGACATTATATGAATTCCTTAAAACTGAAATGTGGACATGACTCATATTCATACATGTTTATGTTTGTAGTATAAAGTTTTATATATATAAGTATTATGTTTATTTTTAAGTATAGATTTTATGTCTGATGTGTGTTTGTATCTGCTTGTATGTGTGTGCAGATGTGTGCATATATGTGCATATGAACATGTTTGCATGCACAAGTTACTGTAAGTGTATGTCTGTGTTTGTGTTTCTGTGTGGATATTTTTGGTTGAGTGAATAAGCATATGAGTGTTTGAAACCTTATGAGAAAACTGTAACTGGGTGGATGTATGCTTGCATTTGAGATTATGTTACTGGACCTATCAAAAGATCACCACTGCTAAATTTCAGATATGAGCACAATTTCACAAGTATCACAACAGATTGATAAGTCGCAGGAGGTGGAGGACGAGGATTTGTTTGAGTGTATCCTGGGAGCCAATGGCCAGGTGGTGCTCTGGAGTGCAAAGCGAGAAAGTAGGCATCAGTTCCTCCCAGATGTTTAGCATTGCTTGTTGCTCGGCTGTATGACACAAATGACCCATGTGTTTTGCCATTACACCTTTGCTGTATCCCTGCAACAGTCTGTGGTACCTCCAAGCTTGTTGTTGAAGATTGACCCTTTCTTTAGGTAGCTGCTGTGATTAGTAATAACAGTCCCTTTTGTCACCTAGGTCTGCTGTTTCTTGATCCATTTTTACCTTTGATGATATATCTTCATGGTAACTGTGTTTGCAGTTGTTGTGTTATTGATTGTTCAGTTTTTTACATTTTTATGTTATATTGATTGATCAGTTTTTTACATTTTTATGTTATATGTTTTGTTGATGTCTCTTTTTTGTGTTTATGATTTTCCTGTAATAGATAAATAAATCATTTTTTTCCTGCATTTATTTGAGATTTTGTAAATAAAAAAGATGTTCTTATGGATTTGATTTCATTTTTTTTTTTTTTTTCATATATGAATTTCAAGGAACTTAACACACTTACTTTTAGAGATGGAAAAAAAACAAACTTTTATTTTGATTTTTTCGCTGAATATTTAGGAATTCTGTAGTGTCAGGAGTTGTAAAAGGCTTTCTTTTATACCTTACAATTGTATATTATAGTATTATTGCAAGTCTGTTCTGAATTTCAAGTAGATAGTGTCATTGCATTTTGAAGTAAGGATTTTTTGTTTTAAACAAGCAGTTCTTCGGACAGGTATTCTCTTTCCATATTCTGCAACACTAGTTAGTGTGAAAGTTTTTTAATGCATGCCCTGGTATTTTACCCCCTGTCACACTTACACACCTATACATTCTGTCTCAGGCAATGGTGTACAAAAATATATCTTTTTCACAGAAGTATGAAAAGTATGGGGTATGAATGTTTTCTCAAAAGATATATTCATTTATATGTTTTTTTTGATATGGTGTACAGGATTTTTTAAACTTATATAAAGGTTATATGTTAATTCCGGATGATTGATCTGAACTATAATCAATGGCTCAGTGGTCTAAAATGCCTGAGTATTGGTCTAGTGCTCGGAAGTCTGGTGCCATGATTGATTCGTACCCCAATTATTCCCAGCACATAGGTGGAGGTGGCAATCTATAGAATCTGTAGTTTGAGGCTATGCAGCATTTGATACCTACCCATCTTATTTATTTATATATTCTAAAGCTGTTTTTTCTTCAAGTACCAAAAGATGTCTTATGTGATTTTATACAAAATCAATCATCCATATGACAAATGAGTCAAGACTGTCCTTGTGTCTGTTAGTTTCATGTAACTTTGTTCTACTGCCTTTGTTCTCACAGTCTTTCTTCTCCTAGTGTACATGTATTTTCAGAGTGCTTTGAACAGAGCATCAATTGGTACTGTCTCCACTCTGGACTGTGAACAGTTCATATTTTTTCAACCGAACAAAATAAAAATTCATTTTATCCTTATTGAACAGTCTCTGGGATTGATGACTTCTGAAACTCATTTTCTGGATGAATGCAAAGGGTGCAACACAAAAAAGTTTTCTGAGTCAGTGTAGTGTGGCTTTCATGAGACCAATACCATCTGACTGACAGTGTTAATATTTTTAAATGCAGTAAATGCAGATGTTATTTCTCATTTATTGTGATGATAATGTGTATAGTGTGTGTGTGTTTTTGTGTTATTGAAATTTGTTTTATTAACACTTAATGCAAGATTATCCCATAGGAAAACATATAAAATATTTTTTGAAAAATCCACAAAGTTGTTTTTCTTGTACAGAATACTAGAAATCACTAAGTATTAACAACAAATATTCAAACTCTCTTACAAAGCAGTCTGATACAATACAATTTCCATACAGATATATATATCTTCCCTTTTATGATGATGGTAGTGTCATTTATATTGAATTAATGATAACTGCAGTTATTGAAATCCTTTATTGCCTTTTCCATTGTAGAAAGTTAACTTGAGACCTAGGTATATTTAGTTGCATTTTTGAAGCCTGCATCTGTGTATCTTTAGAACATATATGCAATATTGAAAAAGGTGATTTCGAGTTTTTATAAGTATAGTTGCACAGCATCAAGATTTTTGTAGAAATAAGATATTGATACCTATGTGGATTGTATTTGTCTTATTCATAGGAAACTATTCTCCCTTCAGCTAAACCACACAATTGATCCTGTTTGGAGGCACTTGAGTCTTTGGGTGAGCACTCAGAGTAGAGTCAAGGGTAGTCATAACTTTGAACTCTGGAAATGCTTCTGCATGAGAATCTGGTGCCATCTTCTAAGTTTTGCAGCTATTAAGACCAAAACTGTTGTCTTAAGCCTCAGTAATGCCTCAGCTTACAATACATCTCACACTGTAAATGTGTATTAGATATGCATTATCTATATTTAATATTCAATTAACATGCAAAGTACAAATAACACGTAATTTGTGTTTGTCTGTTACTCTTTTATGTGGTGCATAACATAGGATTTTTAAGTGATTCATAAAGTTAAAGGTAAATTTCCAATGATATAAGGTATGTATTTTTACAAAAGAAAAAGGTGTGCTCTAATGTGTATGTAATAACACCAATAACCTTTTATATTTTCACCATTCTTTAGCTGTGCCATAGTTTACTACACTTTCTTTCAGCATATAATATATATATATATCAGTAGTTTTTTGAGGTCTAGGTCAGAGATAATCCACCTTGCTCATTCCATACTATGACCTGATTTTCTGAAATCTGGCCTGTTCATATCTTTTAAAACATAATTGTGCTTAGCCTTGGAGAAATTCCAATTTCTGAGAATTATGATAAATTAATATAGATTGTTTAGCAGGACAAGAGAAGCAAAATGTTTGCAAAATTAAGACACTTGCTAATAATACATTTTGAAATTTGAAATGTTTCAAAGAATTTAGGATTAACACATACATTTTGTGTATAGTTTGATTAGTAGATTGTAAAGGATCAGTCATAGCTTTAGCTCTCATGTCATTTATTATTCAATGATTTATTTCCCCACAGCTGTGTTATCTAGGTTTGATTTTGTGTACCCTTCCTATATGACGACATGTGAGGGCAGCAAGATAATGAAGGCGGTGGCAGATGCTGATGGAGATCTTCAAGTCACAAGAAAGAACAATCTCCATAAGAAGGAAGGTGTTGTTCTCATTGGTAAGATTTTCTTGGGTTTTGGAAAATGTGATAGTAATGAACTGCAAGGTTTTATTGATATTAGGTATTTCTCAAGATGTATGTATAAAGCTAATGGACAGTGCCAGTTTGGATAGTGATGACTTGTTTTGTATTGATTTTGAATAGTCTTTGACAGAGGAATAGGACTGAAAACTGCGTATCTGATTTACATATATGTTCTCAGCTATGTTTGCTAACAAACCTTATACCTTCCTTGCAAATTATGATTTCACCATTTGCCACTTTGCTTGCTGTCTGTGTGCTCGACTTTCCATCATATACCTCTTTGACTTCTTGTTTGCCTGCTGATGATCCTTCCAACCCTTGTAATGTGCTTAATGACCATCGCTTGCTGATGAATATGGGATGATCTCCAGAACAATATCTTTTCTTCTCAAAGGAAAGGGGTAAGACCTAGATCATCCAGATGTCTTAAGTTATATTTTGATCGTAGTCTTTTGAGTTGAAGTCATCATTGAAAAGGGTAGAAATGTTAGGGATGTTTACTGATTGTTTGGTAAATCTATTGAAATATTATTTTAAAAATTTAAGAAAGGAATGCATAGGGATAGTGTTTGGTTTTTAAGTTCCATATTCATTTTTCATTGTATAACCCTGTCCAGTATGTTTAATTTCTCTTTGTTGTGAGAAATTGATACCCATTGGAAAGTATCTTGAGATTACTATCAATTTGATATTTAGTATTGGCTTACAACCATTACATCATCTGACAGAACACCAGAGTGCCACAACTTTAGACTTGGTTGGTGAACAAGTTTGGCGTGGAGCACTGTTCCTCGCAGACTTTATCCTCCACCATCCTGAGATCTTCAAGAATGCAAACATCCTGGAACTGGCTTCTGGGGTTGGATTAACATCCATTGTTGCAGGCATGCTTGCAAAGAAAGTTGTGATTACAGGTAAGGTGCTTTGCTCTGACAGACACAAGAGGTATAGGAGTTGATGCTGTCTCTTCTTTTCTTACCCTTTCTGTGAGTGATATGCACAAAAGAGATTTATTGGTAAGTATCAGGTAAAAGTGAGATTTATATGGGGATAAAACAAAACATTTGTCAACACATTAGCATTATTATTCATATAGCATTATTATTCATTTTCTCTTTACTGACTGTTAGCAGTTTCTCTATTTGGCTAAACCTAAGCTTGGGCTTTAATTGATGAAATGCTTTGCTTTATGAAATGGGGCATAGAAAGAAGCTTCCTCTAATGAGCTCCACTAAAGATTCTAGCCTTAGAAATTATTGTTACAAATAAGAAAATGGTCAGCACACAAGCTAGAAATTATTTAATGGTCCTGACATGTCTGAAGTACATATTACTTTCAAAATTGTGGACTTTTTTCTTGTAATTTTAGTGTCCGCAATTTATCCAAATTCCTTGAGTTTCAACTGGGGTCTATTTACCACATATATTCTGGGAATATAGAGGTTGGACTGGTTCCTTGTATTACAATAAATCAGAAGGGAGGTTAGTAAGCATAGTGTCAGAATATAGTGCTGGAGGGTTGTTGGTTCTTAATGGAACACTGGCAGGCACAAAGGCTATGCTGCTTTCCATGAGGCCAGTGATAGGTGCATGGGTGACTTC